TTTTTAAAGATAGAATTCAAAATGACTATATGTTGGCTATACAATGTAAAATTGTCAATGTTCCAATTTTTTTTTTTGTAGAAAAGGTTTGTGTTGCCAACATAGTTACTAAATTTTTGACTTGGGGAATTATTAAAAAAAAAAACAGACTTTACCAAAATGTTTAGTTCAACCTGCACTTGCTTTCGAGGACGAGTAAGATGAGGCAGCCTAGAATTAAAAGTTAAAAATGCCACATTTCACGGTTCCCTGTTCCCTCCATTATTCCTTTCTATAAAAAAGGCTGGCAGCCTGCAACGTCACAGTCCTCTCTACTATCCTCATCACTTGATAAAACAAATTCGATTTTGACATCGTGATCCATTGAAAAAAATCCATATTTGTCCAAATCTGCCAATAATGTTCTAAAGCAGTAATCAGTTAAACTGGTGACGCCATCAACCTGAAATATCTTGCGCTCAGTTGTTAGTGCGACGCAAACAAACAAACCTCATGTGAAGCGGGCAGAACGTTGACAATTCCAGCCGGGCGGGAATGCTGTTACTTCGACTTTGGCAGCTTGACAGGGTGTTGATTTTCCTTCAATCCTCGAATCTTCAGTTTTTTTAAATTCAATATAAATAATATTTATTGAAAAAGTGTCCAAAAGGGTTGCTCAAAAAGTACTGTGTCCACCACGGTCGGAAAGCGATTTCGACTCGTGTGATATCTGAAAACTTCACACTCGTCGGAATCGTCTCCTTTGCGCCCTTGATACACAATGCACTATTCTCGAGTTTTTTATTGACCGTAGAATTGCACAACTTTGCCCTAATTCAACCGACACTGTATTTCTTACCGTTTCCGAGATCCTGATAGTTGATCTCGAAAAACAAACACCCTGTATAATATTTAACATAAATATATTAAGTGATGTATCAAAATTTAGGAAATTTTACGCTCTTTTGAAAGAGTGACGTAGAAAAACTGTTTATCGCAATGGATTCTACATAAAGAAGTGCCATAAGACTCATTTTACCATAATTATTTATCTTTAATTGTAAGAAAGTTATGGGGCATGTTAGGTCTAAGATGTTACCCCTTTAGTTAGTTAATCAATTAACAAGAGGCCCATAATATGCTCGGTTTGGTACGCGAATAATTATTAGGGGTCAGTTGATAGTTTAAGTACAGTATGGCAAGGACGCCACTGATTTTTTTTTTTTTAATTAATAATAAAATTGCCTAAAATATAGAAGGGTGAAAATTCAGAAACACACCTAGAAAATAATCAGCAAACGGTAATTCTGAAAAAGAAATAAATAAGGCACATAACTCAAATCTTGACATATAGGTAAACTAATTAAATAATTAAGTAAATTTCAAATTAAAATAGTATAAATATATTTTCACAGTCAGTCAAAAATCCAACATCAATAATCCCTGGAAATTTGAACAGCCTAGCATTAGCCCTCTAGGTGATATGAAAGGGGGTTGTTTAAATTTCAACACCCTGTATTTTGGAAACGACGCGCTTCCGACCATCGGTGTCCTATCTCAAATTACTTCCCTATGGTTCCTCTATATACCCTAGCATTTTTGACCTGTTGAACGGAGGCACCCTGTATAATACAGTATCACCTATTTTGAATGCGCGCTCCCGCTTTATCATGTTATATTTCGAAAACGGTTGGTCATACAAAAAATTTGTATGAACAATTTTGTAGCAAATACTATTTTACGTAAGTTTTGTTTTGGGTTCTTCGACGTCAAATGCACTGGAAGCGAGATTTTCGTGAAAAACTTTTGTGACTTTTGACCTTCGATATCTCAAAACGCACAAGGGTAGGCATATTCGATTTTTTTGTGCTTCATTAGAACATCAAAACGAAGGTCTCTGCAAAAATTCAACTTGTTCTAACTCATTCCGCAGATGGCCCTATTTTTGGTCTGATTTCTCTGGGGTATGACGCTATTCCATTTTCCAAGAACACACTTTTTTTTTTAACTTCTTCCTTAGTAATTTTTTTTTTAGTGATCTTATGGTTTTCAGGTTTTGTGTTTTTTTTTCTCAAATTCAGAATTCTGCCCGTTTTTCTGTCAGTAATTCTTGAAAATAGGTACTCTTTCCATTGCTGGGGGGGATTAGACCAGTGCAGTTACCTCCTAAAAAGGCAGAAAGCCTGAAATTGTTATTTATGTATCAAGGGAATTATGAGGGTGTTAATACGTCAGGGCAAAGTTTGTGTCCCGAGGGCCATCGGCCCGAGGGACACCAATTGCCCGTGGGTATTAACACCTGATAATTCCCGTGGTACATAGATAATTTTATTTCCTACTAAATTTACTGTATTTTGTCCATTTTTATAAAGGAATAAACCATAAACAAAAATTTCTATTTTTTGTCAAAGTTTCACCTATTCAAGGTAAAAGCGGGAGTTATGGAAATCCTTAACGCCCTTGGGGGTTATGATATCCTTAACTCCCTTGTGAGTTAAGACCCTGTTTATGATTATCGTAACCAAGGTATTATATGGTTATAATAGTTCACTAGGAAATAAAATTAATAACAGCATGAAAACTATTAAAAAGGTATAAAAACATAGCGGAAACAACGGGAAATATAAATTGGAGCCAATCCGAGTTACGAGGGTGACATGGGGTAAACTTTTAGGGGTGGAGAATGCAGGGCCGCCGCTACCATGTGTGCAGTGTGTTCAAAACACACAGGCGGCCGAAAAAAGGGTTGCCGCCGACGATCCTGATGCAAAAAAATATCATGTGCACTCGTGGTAGAAGTGAAACTTATTAAAAACCATCCCCCCCTCGTACAACTTTCAGACTTAGCGTATGAGTCGGGGTAAAAACGAAGGACCACGCAAAAGGGAGACGCGTATCTATAGTGACGTCACAAGGGTATCGTCGCTTGACAATAATAGGCATACCTCCTTGTTTATAAATCCTTGGTTTGTGTTAATTGTTCGTCGGCCTTCATTGTCATTTACTGTTTTTTTCCGTCTCTCTACGTTATATCTTTCTTCTTTCTCGTGTAACGAAATTTTCCAAAACGTGACGTTAAGTGACGCGTCCTTCAAATCACTCTCCATTTTCGACAAAATATACCGCCGCCTAAAGAAAATTCACTTCAAAATAAATCATAGGTAGCCATCAGCCATCGACTTTTCTCGAAAATAAATCTCTCAAACAAATAAACCATCAAGCTTCAATAACGAAAATAAACCGAAAGTATTTCTTCACAAATTTGTATTAGGTAAAAAAAAAAGGTAAAATATCATAATACAAGCAAATAAACACTTGGGATATCAAATGCAAATGTCGGCGACAGACGCACTCGGACATTACAGCGGAACAAACTGATAAGGTTTTTGGAGTGAAACTTCAAGGCGGCGGGCGGTCTGATATGACCATTCTGCCCCGACTATGGGGCAGAATGGCCCCTTCTTGGGGCGGAATGGTCATTATGGTAAAATAATGAAGTAACCGTATTTTTGGGAACAATGAAACATTCAAATATTAAATACACAATTTAATAGAAATTTTAAACTTATTGCCAGATTTCGCAGACAAGCACAGTCTCATCGTCGTCGCTATCGATACCCGCGCAAGTATTATGAGCCCATTTTTTGCAGATTGAGCATGATATCCAACCTTCTATAGATTTTGAGTAAAAGTCTCCACAGTAGAGGCATTGGGTATCATCACTTTCACTTACGCAAGCATGCGCACGTTGCGTTAAAAACGATTCGTATCGCGTCGTCTGGCACTAGCTGCATTCGATTCAAAATGTTTTTCTCTTTAATTTGAAAAAAAAAAAACAAGTTTTCGGCAAGTATTTCAAAAATCAATATATTTTTGCACTTTGGGGGCACCTGGCAAGACTTTAAACACGTGAAAACCGTCTGGCATTATCACAGCCTTCTTAATGGCACATTTTTGAATGAAAAGCCGCAAGAATTGACAGTCGTTAAGTATTTCGAATTTCGAGAATTTTTCAATGACTCATTAAATATGCCTACGCCAAACTCCCCCACCACTGCTACCAGACTACGGTTTTCAATCACAGGGCATAATACTACATCATTCAAGTAAGAAATTGTCCGTCAGCAACTTTTTACGGGAAAAAAAATTACTGGCTCTAGACTATTACGTCTTTCTAAATACACTCTTCTTCACATAGGTATGTTTTCTATGTATAGGTGATATTTGAGACACCTTTCTCAGTCTTAATTCTTTTTAAACTCCGCCGAAAAAACTTGTGTGAACCTTGTCCTTTTTTTCTGATTTCTATGGCGACAATCGGGTCCATTTTTCATTCATCTTCCAAGAGATGCCTTGGACGTTCCATGCACCAACATTTTGGGTCTGGGCTTGGTTCCGAGGCTGCTGATTGGGTCTCCTACTAGTCTACAGTTATTCCGAATAACGGGGACGTTTCAATTCCCTACCAGGACTACAGGATGACTAGGTAGATTGCGTTTTCATCCGCCAGATTGCATTACCTAGCTGCCAGTGCTACCAGTTTATCAGAAAGTGAATCAATGGGGCCTACGGGGATTGGGAGAGAACCTTTGGAAATACCTGAGAACAATAGCGGAAATCGGAAGACTCCGAAAGACGTTGCAAACTGAACAAACTCGAACAAAGTTTGTGCGTTCTGTTACATATAAAAATTCTGAAGACTGAACTGTCCTGTCTCACACTTTTATATTATTGAAACAGCAATGTTATGTGAGGGCTGTGAGATCAATAAATCATTGGTGGAAAATATGAAAAAGTTCTACAAACTATTTATTTCGTAGTTTTTAGCGTTAAATTATTGAATAAAAAAACTTAATTTCCTTATTCCAGAAGTACGAATCAATGCAAAGTTTGAATTTTCAACATCGTCTAATAAATCAAATAAAAAATATGACAATTTTTTGTTGAAATGTTCAACATAACTTCAACTTATTTGTAGTTTCCACATACTTCGTAGAAATGCAACATGAACCGTTTCTTACCTTTTTTTTATCACTGTCCTTCTCCTTGTCTTTGTCCATGGCTTCCTTGACAGTACTAGTTGATACATTGGAAAGCTCTTTGGCTAATTTGTTGATGCTAGTAGCGCTGCTTCTATAGCTTGGCGTAATGCTTTCCGTTTCTTCAAGAAGTGTACTTTGTCGTGTTACATTGGCTTCGGTTTTTGACGATTTGGTTGGTACTCGCCGTTTGAAAGATCGACGGGCAATATCACTACCTAAAAAAAAAAAAATATGCACAATGATAAATCTCAAAGAATTTACGTTAACAATAATTTAAGTGGCCTGAAGTTTAGCTGCATTTTTTAAAAAAGCCAGCAGACTTTGTTACTGTTTCTTTTTCATTACTGGAATTGTGAACAGGATTTAAATTCAGACCAGTACTGCATTGGCTTGTTAAGCTTCTAAGTCAACAAAAATGGGTTTCTGACATTAGAAATAGTTACCCACACTTTTAATTGTTTGGTAACTAGCGCTTAGTTTGGAGATACATCTTTATAGTCACTTTAGAGCAGATAATTTATTAGATATCACTTTTATAGAGTGTGCAAGCAGCAATTCAGTATATATATTTTTTTAAAATAATTTTTTCCATCTGACTGGCTGCAACCAGCATCAGTCTGATAGAGAATATCTCCATATTAAACAGTCAGAGTCAGCAAAAACCATTATGATTTACGTACCTTCGACAAATTGTGCTAGACTGCAGTATCTTTGGGGACGTTCATATCGATTATCCAAGTAAACGTGCTGAGACATAAAGGCTCGATTCTCGAAGCCGTATTCCGAATCATCTTCTACTCTCGCTGCTCCTGGTGCTGATTTTCGCCGTAGGCTGTTCCGTTTTTTCCGCTCCAGGGAGTCTTTCTTGACGCTTAGTTTTCTCTCTATAAAAAAATCAAGAATGTAACAAATGAAAAAAAACTCGCAGACTTGGGTAGCTGCTGAGGTAATTTGAAAAAAATAAATAAATAAAAAATCAGGGTTAGTAGACGTTCAAAATTACTTTTCAGACAAAAAAGATGCCTAACTTTATTTATTGTAGTATCGCCAGTAAAAAAAAAACGAAACTTTTTGGTTTTTTTGCCAATTTTTGGGGTTTTCTATGAGATTTGGCTTGAAGGGGTATATTACTCAAATATGCAAGCCAGTTACCTTCATAAGATCTTAGAAAATGGGCGACTGACTTGTCATTGCCAAATATCTAAATACAAATATTATTCGATAGTTCCACATACTCATGAATTAATGGATTTTCTAAAATTATTTTCATTAGGTCGCTTTTATAGGCAATTTGCAGCATTAAGCCGCGTCCAAATTAATTACAAATTGCATGGCGTTATATTCGCATAAAACCTTGATGTAAGCACTTTTATTATCTCCATTATTAGCACTAACCGTTGCTTTCCAAGGAAACCGCTGTGTAATCACACTGCCTTAATATGATTATAAGACAAACCTATATTTAAACGCTCGAAAATACATTTTCCTAGGACCATATACGAAAATTAGACGGTTTACTGGTTCGGAAAATACAACCTATCACAATATCTTAACCAACCGTGTCGAAAATGCTTCTTTCATCACTTATGCGGAAAATATCACTCTCATCACGGGGAAACTTATCCATTAAATAAAGAAATATAATAATATATTAATTTTTGTAATTTTAGGCTTTTGATATGATGTCATAATTTTGAATTTATTTCTCCTTAACAGAACATTTAAAAGAAAAATCATGTCTATATCATTCTTACTTTGCAAATGTTAAGCTAAGATATCTCAAAAATGGCTCACGCAAATGTGATCAATATGAACAGGGTGTTTCACGAACATCGAAACAGAGGCGTTTTGGGGTATTTTAAGGTCTTAAAAAAAAACGCTCGGATACGTCAATTTTGTATTCAAGGGGGAAAGTTTTTGACCCTATCGGTATTTCGCTGTGGTGCTCCCCCTGGGTGGGGTGACTTTCACCTCTCTTTTCTAGATAGGGAAGATGGATCGAGTGGTACCTTGTTTTAAACGCATTTTGATTCTCGTCATACCTGCGTAATTTTTTTCTAAATCGAATAATTAGTTCTCGAGATATTCACTGTCAAAGTTGCCATGCGCTAAATGAGAAATAATATTCTGGCCCTGTTATTCTCAAATTGACACTTTCCTGACTTTTCTCTCGGACACGTCAATTTTAATTTTTTCAGGAGCATTGTAACGAAGGTCCTTAAATTTTACATTCATACCGCGAATTATTCTAATTTATTTCCGAAATAATAATTAAATATTCAGTACAGTAATATTTAAGCGCGTGATCTTGCTAGAAGACGCTACATTCACTTCGCTAAGGAACAAGGTACGGCAGGCCCACGCCGCATTCCGATGCAGTTGGAAAAAACCGTCGGCGTCATCACCGGGCGGGGATTCCCTATTGTACTGAGACTATAAATAGGGCAAAAATTGCGAATGATAGGCAGTACCAGCCGACGCTTGAGTCCGATCAACATCCAGACATCACCATCACCAGCAGTACGAATCCGAGCCCGACGCGATATTCCGGAAGTTTCTCATCACCGACCAGTCCGAGGTAAGACGTCCTCAGCCTTAACGGTCATATATCAGTCCGGACATTACAACGTCTCGCGCATCGCACTTTTAGGTAAAAGTAATAGACACTACAGGCTTTCCTGCAATTGAGATTTTCGAGTACCTTAGACGGGCAATTTCTATTACAGTTGAACTCTACCGGATCTCACCCGAGTACGTTGGACGGGTGATCTGTAAGCCTGAGTACCTTGAACAGGCATTTCCATCCGAAGGCATGTAGTGTCACGCCGCGAAGGTACCAGACATTTAAACTTCCCTTGGCAATAGGGATTTTGCCCGAGTACCCTGAACGGGCAACCTCTATTGCCGGATCTTGTCGGAGTACCCCAGACGCGAGTGATCTATAAGAGAGTCTTTCGCCTGAGTATTCTGAGCAGGAATTTCTCTCGGCAGTTTAATTGTATGCCGGAATTAAAAATTCACTCTCACGAGGACTGGTACTTCCGTTATTCGGGATCCGTATTTTTGCTTGGGTTACCGGAGTTTTTACCATTATTGCCTGTTGCTACTAATTCTCACTGCTACTGCTTAGCGTCATTACATTTCCGTTCAGACATCTCACCAGCTTAAAAAGTGGTTAGGTAACTCTGCATCTCACCGCCTGCGCCTTTACCACTAGCTTTTTCGCACCGCTGTTCATAGCTTTCTCTCACCATCGTCGCATTGCTATAACACCCTCTCTTGCATGTTCTCGCTTGCTCTCCATTTTTTTTTTTTTTTCATTTAATATTAATAGTTTTTTTTTTTATTACCTAGAACATCCTTTCTAGGTAAGGACGTCCCATATGTATTTTTTTTTCCTGTAATACAGAGGCTTCCATTTTGTTCAATTCACTGTTTTATTGCATATCCTGACCCAAACACCATTCAGTAATTTTTCAGGAAACAGTTAAGGGGTTTTCAGGTGTTTATACCGGAGACTTGCCGAGTCTTGATCAAGCATCGCTTGTGACTCCTGGATAACCGTTTTTCCTCTGTTACAAAGCTGCCTGGTGCACGTGGGTTCTCAACCACTTTAATCCTCAGAATGGCGCCCGAGACATACCACCGAATAAACCCCAACTAGGAACCCGCCCTGACTACACAAAACTAGCGCCTTACAAATTTGGCGCCCGAGCAGGGACCTGTTGATGCTTCCGCCAGTATAAATTTAGCCGTATCCAGATCAACCCCCTTGACCGTGTGCAGCGAATACTGCCCCATAAGACCGTTATTCTGAATTTGGTTGTGCGCATGCGCAGTTCAAATAAGCCGTAATACCTGCTTTTCGACTAAACCGAGACTGCTGATTGCATTCACCGTTCCCACAAATACGCCAGCCTAATAGTTTCTAAATTATTGAAGCTTAAGTGAACAATTCAACCGAATTTTGAGAAGCAAGATGCCTGGAGATACCGCGAGCGATGATGCAAAACCACCAGTTACAACCGCGTCTGTTCCCACATCAACCGAAGTTTCCAACAGCTTAAAGGCCGAAACCCACTAGCAACACGCCACGCCACCCCACGCCATGTGACACAGGTTCACGTGGGACAGTTTGTGTGCAAATGGACGGATGGCGTGGCGTGCCATGGCGTGGTATCACGTATGGCAAGTGTGTACGCAGCACATATAAATAAATGGAAGAATATACGCATACATTTTCGTCACATGGCGTGGCGTGGCGAAGCATGACGTGGCGTGTTGCTAGTGGGTTTCGGCCTTAAAAGCCTCTAATATAGTAAACACCCTAACGACCATAGGCATTAACCTGTCCGATCCTGGCACCAGTGACGTACGAGTGAGATGGGTATCTCAATTGAGGAAAGATGACCTACTTATTAAACTTGGCAAGTTCAGTCTAGATACTTCCGGTAGTGTGGATGTTTTGAGGAAAATGCGTATTAGGTTTTTCAATTCGGAAAAGCTACACCGACACCGACCAGTCAGGCCTTTGTTTTCCCATCCTCCACAACCATTCCTGGTAACTCAGCCACCCCGACTTCCATTCAACAAATAAATATTGCGTCCTTATCAATAAGCAAACCGTCGACCACATCAATCACAATTTCCGGCATTACTACTCCCATACCCACTATAGTTGTTCAATAACCCATCACAACACCAACCGCTTATAGCTCTCCAGGCACTTCCCTGTTAGCCTCGCTGAAAGTTTATAGGTGGGTGGGATCTACATTTTGATTGACGAATGGATCCGGTAACGTTCATTGAGGAACTACAAGGAATCTGTACCTCTCAAGGAATCCTAATAGGCCGACTATCACCGCACATGCCGGAAATGTAACGCGATGAAGCGCATCACTCTGGTTTCGAAACAACCGAACCCACTGGAACACGTGGAACGAATTCCTGCAAGATTTCTGCAGCTTCTACTTTCCCATCAATTATGTTGCTGATTAAGAAATTGAAACCAGCCGTCGACTACAAAAACCTTATGAGCTCATTGATAAGAAGGCATGGCAATATTAACTCCGACCAAGAACTGCAGTGGTTGTACCGAACCTATTACCTGAATATCGACAGCATATCCGGAAAAGTGAGATTACCGACGTTGTTTCCCTTCCGAGAATCAAAAGGGAAGTCGAGCTTCTATTATCAGAATTAACACCTCCTTCAAGCCGGAATTCGTATTCCACTCCTGCCAGAATTTCCCTAACTGATAACCCGCCTAGAAACTGGCAACCTGAAGGACCCTTTCAACAGATCGAACAAACCCGACGAAACTCCAGATATGAAAGGCCGATGCCTACCCGGAACAATCTACCGAATCCAGCGAGGAGCCCTGTCAACCGCAACCCTAGCCCTAATGCCAGTGTTTGCTGGAGATGTGGGGAGTTAAGACATTTCCAAACGGAATGTCGAGGAATGGCTAAACTTTTCTGTTCAAAATGCGGAAAACAAGGTGTCATGCCACAAGATTGCTGCCTCCGTTCGGAAAACTAGGCCGGCGCTGTCCCGCTGCGAGGTCGGAGCAGCCCCGCAGTATTCCTATCTCGAATCTCACATCTACACAAGCTCTACCGGACTGCCGTCCTAATATTTTGATTTACTTGTACGAAACACCGTTATCAGGTATCGTGGATAGCGAAGCTGCGAATTCTTACATAGGAGATTTTGCCGCAGAAATTTGTCGAGAAAAAAGAGCTCTCGAAGTACCACCGCTCGTCAGAAGTGCGAAAGTGGCCAACGGTAGCTTAATCGACATAACCAAAGCATACCGAATTCCGCTGACATTTGGTAACGTTACGCTGTCTGAAGAATTTGGTTATTTTCTGCACTTTACTTCTGAAGTAGTTTTGGGACTGGACATTTTAGGTTTATTATCTTAGAACATAATTGTATCCGAGACGGCCGATTATATCGACACTTCTGGGATATGTCCGATCTTGCAGAGTATGCTATGACTAATCCTTGAAAATTATGTATGCCATTTGCCCGTGATTCCGTATTGGAAGAGAACCTCGATGTCCCCACAGCCGGTCACTTGGGAATCGCAAACAAGCACTACCGCTCGTATTGCAAGAAGGTATTGCTCGATATGTTCAAGGCTGCTCGTCCTACCAGGATTTCAAGACATCACAACAAGCCACCCCAGGCAAAATGCATCCCTCAAAGAACGATAAACCATGGGAAACCGTCAACACCGACTTAATTGGGCCGTTACCTCGTTCTACAAAAGGAAATTTCGAACCGATTCACAAAATGGACGCAATGCTGGCCTATTCGAACGGCTACTGCCAAAGCTGTGAGCATGGCGTTCTACGAAGACATCGTCACCAAGTTTGGATGTCCGCAGACCGCGATTTCTGATAACGGAACTCAATTTACTGGACATAAATTTGAAGATTTGCTGAAAGAAATGGGGATAAAACACCGGCTGACACCACCATAAACACCACAGGCTAATCCAGTTGAACGCGCCAACAAAACCATTAAGACAATGGTTGCTCAATTCTGCGAGTCCGATCACAGAAAGTGGCATGTGCATCTGCCCGACTTGGTCTTCGCTATAAACAGTTCTCGACATGACTCGACCTGCTTTTCACCAGCATTTCTGACGTGAATTGGATCCCCCGAAACCTTTGTAACTCTACGTCCTAAACCATCAACCCGACATTGATGACCAAGGGCCAGATTCCGCCGAACTGGTCGAATATACCGACAAGCTCCAGAAACTCAAAGACGTTTATGAGCTGGCCCGTCTCAATCTGGGCCGCGCATTTATCATAATTTGCGTCACCGAGAATGGAGATGTCACGTTGGTGATAAGGTTTTCAGACGGGAAAATAATTAAAGTCGTGTCCCCGGTGGTATATGATTTAAAGAATTCTTCTGGTAAAATACTCCGGCATATCCATGTCAACGTCAAAGATCTCAAGCCTGCCCCGCGGGAACCGTAACCGCTTAATTTTTTTCTACAGCATGCCGAAAAGGGTTTAATCCGAAGTTCCTCCAGCGGCACCCAACCGCCCACCGACTTGATACGGGTTGAAACATTCGCCACCCAGGTTCGAAAAAGGTCCATGGCAAAAATGGCGGAAATTAGAGGGGCCGCCCAGCAATTAAAAGCTCAATTTAGAAGATTCGCCATAACACCGCTGAAACAGTTGCCCGCACTTACAGAGGCCGTAGTAGATGCCAACCCGGCCGATAAAAGTCGTGTCTTCTAGAAGGAATGCCGTTGCCACCATCACCTCCGCAACACAAACGCAAGGAACCGCTTGCCAAACAATAGCACCTCTCATGTAAAACCGAACGTACATTCTACCTTCACCAGCCTCTGGACACAGTCTTCGGTCGTGGATCCACCTCAAACCTTCTCAGTCCTTTTTACCCCGAATATCCCTCTCACATCTGCTTTCGCAACTGGCATCCCCAGGACAGCCGACCCCACGGTACCACCCGGAAGGGTAGACTTTGACACCGACTGCGGATCCGATAAGCAGATGCAGGATTTGTTCAGGTCACTGGAAGACCTGCTCAGTCAACCCTACACACCTACCGCTCCGCTCGTGCCAGCGGCTGCCACTTCCGCCCTCGAAAATACCATGCTCATAACGGCCGACTCCTTGGTACCACCGTCAGAAATAAAACCAGAAACGGACTCCGGATACGCTGAAAAGATCCAGGATTTGTTCAAATCATAGTTACTCCGACGTCCAGCTATGTTCCTGGCGCAGAGTCCCCGTTCAGCAAACGGAAACAGACCAGGAGGAGGACTATTCCACAATTGAGGAGATTGCGGAAGCCCTCGTGGAATACAAGGGTGGATGAATGCCTGCCGCGCTACAAAGAGCTTTTGCCAAGTACCGACCTGCTCCCATGCCCACTCGGCACCGCTACCGGGCCAAATTTCCTCATCCAGCTGGAAGATTAATATATACCTATATATTAACATCCCGAGTGGATGGTAAAGAAATGTGGTTCCAGGTTACGATTTTTTTTTATTATCTGTGATGTTGTTGTGATTTTTTTTTTTAATTTTAATTTTTGGTTACCTATTTGTTCTTGGGAAATAAAAAATCTTTACCGTTTAAAAGAACTGCCTTTCTTGTCCTTGGGACTGACCGACCGCACCGCAGTGCCTTTCTCAATACATCTCTGTCATTTGTTTTTTTAGGAAGCATACCATCATGACCCACAGCCCTTCGCTTTCAGCTAGCCCCAAGCTCGAGCTCCAGATTGCCATGGACGACCCAGAGAAGGCCCTTCAAGAGACCCCAACTCCTGACACCGAACCGGCCCCAACTCCCGATATCGAGCAGGCCCCTACTCCCGACACTAAACAGGCCACAACTCCCGACACCGAGCAGGCTCCAACTCCTGACACCAAACAGACCCTACCGGAATCTCCAAGTCAAGCTGGTGAGCTCGAACCGATTCCGGAGTTGTCCGACAAGTCCACTCGCACCCTCGTAGTGCCAACTAAAAAGGCAGCAGCCTCAAAAAACCCGGGAGCTTCTACCCCCAAAACAACTACCACAGGCTCGCGTCCCTCGCCGACCATGGTGACGTATATTTACCCGTCCACCGCGATCTGTGTTGGCGTTGTGGGTATCCGGGGCACCGATGAGAAACTTGCCGGGAACCTCCTTGGAAATTCTGCTCGAGGTGCGGAAAATTTGGTGTGCTGTCCCAACACTGCAACTGTCACGAAGGGCGAGTGGTCGTGCTGGACTCCCGAAACTCCACACGGAACCGAAACTTGGTAATACTACCGCTACCTTGGTCCCCCACAGAGGCCGTGTGACGTCCGAAGCCAGCCAGTACTGCCGACACCTCAGCGCTTGTCCAGCGTGCGGCTGTCTCTATGCCCGGTGACACTAGGCCGGAACGGAAAAACCCCGACTCTAATAAGCAATCTACCGATGGAAATTACTTTTTTTTTAAATATTATAGTTTATACGTTAAGTTGTTGATAGGTTTTTTTTTTTGTGATTTAGGGATCCATAGGATAAGTAACTTGAATTTTACATTCATACCCCGGAAGGGTGGTCTATAAGAAGATCTTTCGCCTGAGTTCCCTGAACAGGCATTTCTCTCGGGAATTTAACTGTATACCGGAAATAGAAATTCACTATCACAAGGACTGGTACTCCCGTTATTCGGGATTCGTATTTTTGCTTGGGTTACCGGAGTTTTTACCATTATTACCTGTTGCTGCTAATTTTCATTGCTACTGCTCAGCATCATTACATTTTCGTTCCGACTCCTCAGCAGCTTAAAGAGTAGTTTGGAAACTCTGCATCTCACCGCCTGTACCACCCGCTTTTTCACACTGCCAATCATAGCTTTCTCTCACCATCGTTCGCACTGTTATAACAACCTCTCTTGTATGTTCTCGCTCTCTCTTCATTTTTTTTAAAATTAATATCAGTAGTTTTTTTTCTAATTGCGTGCGCAAAGTAATCACTTTGCGCACGCAAAGTTGAACTTTGCGCACTCATTTTTGTTACGCATAATTATCATAGTTATACTCGATTTTCCAATGTTTTGATGGTTTCTGAATAAACTAATACTGAAAATGAAGGGTTTTAGTTGAAATTAGCGCTTAGTTAACATGATGTTTCCTATCAAAGGTGTCCAAATTGGACCAGCCTGTACTGCTAGGAATTTGTAGAATTTTTGATATTTAAGAGACTCTCATGGAAATATTCTAGCTGGTATTCTAGAAATGCCAGAAGATGTTAAAAGATTTTAGGGGATTTAATTTAAAAGACATTCTGAGGAATTCCAATAGATTTTAAACGATTTTTGAAGATTTTGATTTGATTGATTTTTCTAATATTTTAAAAATTCAAAGTCTACTTTTTCAAGATACTCGTAGAAAAAATATTGTTCCTAACACTTGCGCAAAGTGTCTTTCCCGCACTCAAAGCTTATCCGAACTCCGCTTCGCGTCGTTCGTCTAACTGCTTTTTCGTGCGGGAAAGTATCACTTTGCGCACTTGTTAGGAAAATAACTATTTTATTACCTTAGAACATCCTTTCTAGGTAAGGACGACCCATATATTGTTCGTCGTTAAGGCTGTAGGTATGGGCTTAAATATAATCAAATACTCTATACCGGATCACTTCAACAATTTGCAACAATATCGAATGATTTTTTGTGACCGAGTGAGTGATGCAAGGCATCTCATCTAGACCAGGGAAAAACGAAAAAAGCACCGTCACAACCCTAGACCCATTAGTGCGAAGTGCGAGCAGACGGAACAAACATCCTGCAGGCGTCCATAAAGTAATTTCAGGGAGAAGACAAGCATCGCTTTTCCCTTTCCCCATTGGGTCTAGAATGAGGAAAATCTTCGTACTTCTATTACTATGAGTAAATCCTATCATTTTTCATTTTATTAATTTCTTCCTGATTATTTTATTGTTTACCCATAGGACTTTACCTTATTCAGGAAAGTTTATCATTCTATTTTTATTTTTCTTCTTCTTCTTTTTATTATTTCACCCTGAAATACCATTGCTTGTACCTACTCATTACATATAACCTCCTAAGTATCCAGGCAATGTTGATGCAGACATAAAAATAGTCCTTTTTTATACAATTTTAGGTTAACTACTCAGTTGGTAGAGCTACAGTTTCTATTGCCTCAAGAATAGAATTCAACTAATAAGATTTACCTAGTAAAAAATACAATTATTGAAACTTTCTCTGAACACAGATCGATCAATTGGATATGCGTTTGCCCGTAGTTCATAATTCTCAAAGGTTATTGTTTCTAACGATACTCGTGCTATCAAATTACTTTGAAAAGGAACGAATATGTCAAATTAGCAATGAAAACTTTTATCATCTAGCTCAACTAGCATATACGATTTATAGTGACATTAAAAAATCCTGACTCATTAGAGCTTAGGATAAAAATATTTCCGAGAAAATAACAGTCCAAATTTTATTATACAACACGTACCGTAAATAATCATTCCCAACTAATAGCAAATCTATACAAATTTACCAAATTATGCATCTTATTTTAACAATAAGACCTATGTAAATCTTTCATTTATTAGTTGATAGTGTGCTGGAATTTAAATAAAGAAATTGAAGTTATCTCAGGGAAAATACAAGTGTTTAACTGAAGCTTCAAACACAATACTTAAACAGACGAGGCGTTTGTATTGTACTTATAGTCAGACTAGGGCTCTTCCACTAATTTCTGAATTTGGCGTAATTGGATAAAACAGCTAAAAATAGAATTTTCTGCACCCTCACCTTTGGAAAACTTGGAGTCCTTGTTGAGAAAATAAATTAAAATAAATAAAAACACGGAATTTATCCTCACTACGTCGCAACTCGAATTTTGATAGCATTGCCGCCCAGCAATGAAAATTTGTACACAATTTTAATTTATTAAAAGTTTCTTCGTCTGTTATAAAATTTACAGTGTGTAAGATTTTTTTGGCATATACCGTGCGTTCGTTATTTTGGTCTGAGTTCTCCGAGCTTGACTTTACCGTTCGTTTATTGAAAAAGTGTACTCGGTGCAGCCTCATTCGCGTTCGTTTATTAAAATTTCCGGTACTTTTATACGGCGTTCAACTGCTCCGTTCGCTCGCTGGTCACGTGATTACGGCTCCGCTCAGCTCGCTCTACACTTTGAGCAAAATATCGAACGCAAGGGCAGACGTTTCAATTAAAATTTTTTTTGCCTCGACTAGGATTTGAATCCAGGACCTTCGCATTTCCAGTGAAACGCTCTATCAACTGAGCTACCAAGACCTGTTCCATTTCTACCTTCTCGGTCAAGTCTTTCATCAATTTTAAGTTGTTAGTTGTGGAGACCAACGGCAACCTTCGACAGTTATCGTTGGTATGTGAGTGAGTTAGAAGGTCCTTCTAAAACCTTCTGAAACTATCAGAAGGACCTTCTAACTCACTCACATACCAACGATAACCGCCGAAGGTTGCCGGTGGTCTTCACAACTAACAACTTAAAATTGATGAAAGACTTGACGCGACAAGGTAGAAATCAAACAGGTCTTGGTAGCTCAGTTCGTAAAGCGTTGCACTGCAAGAAAAATTTTCCTCGATCTTAATTGAAACGTCTGCATGCCAAAAAAAAAACACTCTAATTTAAATTAATTTTTTGTAATCAGTTTTAATTTTATTTTCTCACGGCGCACTACATTTAGTCACAATTGGCAACAGCTGAATCAAAATTTCAAGCCAGTGTGGTAGAGTTTTCTCAAATTTGATTGGTAGAAGATATCCATGCCGCTTATACGTCATCGTCTG